GACGAAATTTTAAAACCCAGCAAAAACATAACCTAATTTCACCGCTTCATTACGCCTAGACAAGTTAATTATCCAGATTTCGTTCAGATGCAACCCGCTGCAACCGTTGCGGGCAGCATCTGCTCAAATAACGAGTTGAGCAGGTGGTGCATAGACCCATGGTGTGTCGCAATGTGCGTTGGCGTCCCCGGGGCAATCGCCAAGTGTCTCAACACAACGTGCGTGACATAATCCGGCGACTTTGATTGTCAGCGCCATGGACACACATCCGAGGCGAGCGCGCAGGAAGTACACACGTGACGGGACTACGAAATCGTCAAAATTTAATTGTGACCATATGTTTGGACCTTTAAACCATAGCTAAAGGTTAAACTATGACCTTGGAAGCAAAAAAAAACATTAAAAAATAAATTTTGCAAAAAATATTTTTTTAGTTTAGAAAACAAAAATAACGAACTTTAAAACCGAGCGTGGGAGAATCCCATTGACAATACCCACGTATCTTGAATACAAACTGTCGCATCTTTAGAATTTATTCATTGAATGCACTTTGAAATGTGTCTACATGTGCATGTGCACCTTCCTTCTATATAAACGTTTTTTTTTTGTAAGTTTTGTAAAGACAACCTTTCATGTTGAATTTTCAATGTTTGCACATGCGCATACACATCTCTACACACAAAAACACTTTTCGGCTACCAACCGACCCGCGGCAGATCCACTTTTGTGTATGATCAGCTGCATTTCGGTGGTGCGCTCCTAGATGCAACACAAACGTCACCGAAAAAAGATGTAAAAGGAAGCTCCCGGTAACCTAACATCACAAAGGTGCATTGTGGGTGACATACAACGCAAGAAACACCTGGAGATGGAATTATCTGCATCTGCCCGTTTGAAAAATGCAAAACCAGTGCAATATTAGCATGTTATGTAGCTGTACTAAACTTAAGTCAGCTTCTAAGTTGCTTGAGTGTTGAAACACTACTGTTGCAGCCCATTATTCAATTCGTATTGTACACACGCGCCGCGTTTCGACACGAAATTATTTCTAATTCCATCCGATCGCGCGCGAGCGCTCCCAACTTTTCTACCGACTTAAGTCACTTTGAAATATCCCCCGGAGGTGAATTTCTCAATCAGCAGGCAGCAACACACACACACTTCAAGACAAATGATTCAGAAAAACGCTCAATTACGTTCGGGAAAAGTAAATCTCGCTCGAAATAGCGCGCGCCGTCTAAATTTATCCCCGACTGCGAAACAAATTGCCCAAACTTTTTGCGTCATTCCGCACACGATCAATCCTTTGTTCTCTCCGAGATGCTATACGTACGCAGTAAGATAAACCATGTCGTCAGGAATTAAAATCGCCTTGAAATTATTTATTGATTTTCGACGGCGGCCAATAACAGTATTTAGGCGTTCGTTAGTAAAATTTAATATAGGTGTAGAGAGAGAGATGACTTTTGGAGGCCCCTGCGGCCTTGCAGTGAGACACCAAGAAGGTTGAATCAATAAACGTTTAGAGTAGTGACTTAACAACTATTTAAACTCATTAAGCGGCAATTAAATGCGTGATTAAGTCGGCGGTTACGACAGGTCCGAAGCGTTTGGTAACGCATTGTTTGTTCTTCAATTTGCTTTCAAATAAAAATGTAAAAATTTTAATTTAACGCTAGTGAAATGATTGCAAAACACTCCAATTTAATTTCAATTTGTTTTTTGGAGCCGAAAAGCACTCAGCGCGCACATGCATGCATCTCGCGTACTCGTCTGTTTATTGATCAAATTATTTCAGCAAATTGAATTTGAAAAATGCGATTGCGCAAAGCGCAACACGCCGCTGCCAGCGAAATTTCATCACTAGTGCAAATTATAAATATTAAACACAGCAGATATTATTTTATTTTATTTTCATCTAGTGACAATCAAGATTTTGTCTGTTTTTTTTTTCAGTCGGTAGCGCGACATCCGACATTGTACGCTTGGCGACCTTAATTTCTTTGGCCGTGACATTAAATCCTTTCTTTGCGCGAGCGTTTTTGGCGCGTCGGAATGCGTGTGGCCTGGATATTTTTACGCTTTTTGCAAAAACCCAGTTAGACGCGTAATGACATCCTGCCAAGTTATAAAAAAGTGAAAAACTAGCGTGAAAAAATTTAAATTTAACTTTCAAACGCAAAAGCCAAACAAAACTAGAACAAATTTCACTTGATTTCAAAGAATATTCGAAATGAACATCAATTTTAATAAAAACATGTCATCAATAAAAAAAACCACCCTCTATAATTGATTAAATGCTTCTAATGTCAAAAATATAAGGGTATAAAGCTTCTAATCACAATAATCGGTTGATTATTTACTTATTCGCCCTCATGCTTACCAGATCAAGCAATATTGTGATAAATTGCATTGCATTACAGTGCATTGCGCAAGAATTAATCACACATCTATCAGCATTCATTCTGAAAAGTCCACACCACACCAGAGAGCGCATGATTTCATTGCGTCTGACATTTGCGTCAGCGCTAAAGACAATCCGTGTAATTTTTAACATTTTGTCATTTCCACATTAATGCAAAGTATCTCTCTCAACACGAGTAAACAAAATGTAAACGACCTTGACGCATACTCACACACAACACACACATAAAATTAAACGTTAATTGAGAATATCAACTCGCCGATCGTAAATTAAAACCGAAAGCATTCCACGTTCGCAACCTTTGCGATTGAAAATACTGACTGGACCGTGGGTGGGAATCGGCACATTAAATGTAAACAAACATCATCCGCATTGCGCATAATATGCCATAGTGATGAATATTATTATTATTAATGCACGTAGTGTACTTCATTATTTATGCGACACGTGCGGTCAGCCTTTTCAGCGTTCTCATCAAGTTCTAATCGAGAAACAAAAAAAAATGAATAAAGTGAATGAAATTATTTCAGCGCCCGTTTTCATTTTATTTTAAAATATTAGTATAAAGTGTTCAGATGATAATAAAAGTGGAAAGGTCAACATGAAACACTAGAACAAAAATGTCGAAATATCGAAACATAATGTAACTCGAACCGGATGTCGATATCCGCTCATAATCAATTGTGTTTTAGCTAACTATACAAAAAATCTACCTACAAATCATTCAATTATCATCCAAACGAAATTTTATAAAAAAAAATTTTTTTAATTCTTTGTTATGATGCTGTGCATGTTTGCACATAAATTGAACTTTGTTTACTCCACTTTGCTATTTATGTCGTTTGCGTCTGGTGTCGTCGTCCTGCAGACACACTACACTCACAATTAAAGTGCAATGACGCTGTGTTATTGATGCGACAACAACGCGCGCGCCCAAACAAAAATTATTTGTAAAAATATGGAAACAAGTGCAAGAGAGCAGACGTTGTCCCAACACACGAGATGACGAAAACTGATATTTTATTGGCCAACTGTTGAGACAACTTAAATATTTCATCAAACTTCATCAACAAGAGCGAATGTTTTTGCCTTTGTCAAAACCACAACCACATTAGACCAAAGACCCACACGATAACATTGTTTATCGCGCGTAGAAAATATGCAGAGATTAATAATAATAATCATAATAAAAGTGTTATCGCGGCATTTTCTCCGTCATAGACCCGGGGAATATTTTAATGTCTTCTGGTAGTGGAATGACGCACGATAAAGCACACATCGCTATCGGAATAATATTTGATATGGAAGTGGGAATACGACACCATCGAGATAAAATCCATATCAATATTATTACCAACAGTTTTTCAACGCTTTAGCTTTAATCGTGTCTCCTGGTAGATTTTAGGGTAAAATTTTAGTGAGTAATGTGAATGTAAAATTCATGATAAATCTGTTCCCTTTCAGATAATTTTTTACTTTTTTTCGACAGTCGATGCATAATATTCATTATCAGCCGGATGATATCGTCGCGTCTGGGAATTTGAACTTGACTCATGGCGCGAGCGACAACGGCGCGCATCCGAAAATAAACAAATGTCATAATAACTGTCGTAATTTATCCAAATCACAATAATAAAATAGAAGATTTTCTTTCGCTGAAAAACGCGTATTGCATTTTAATATCTTGGCACGTTAAAGATCTGGCCATAAAAAATGATTTCACATCCGGTCCACAACTGGTCCCTCGTGCGTAATCGCCGGGAGTAATTACGAGTGCGAGCGTTTGGCGCGTGCGGCGCAACACTTTCCGTCTTTTCTCGCTGGCGGGCGGGCGAGAGAGGTGTGGGTAAACAAATAATAATGAAAAGAAAAAGAACGCGATCGTTATTTCGAGATGCGCGAGACGAGAGTAATGCAACTTCATTGAGCAATTGCGCGCGCGTTACAACACACAGAAATACATACACACACCTTCGTTGCGCGCTGCGCACGCTCTCGCGTCTCGCAATGTTTCACATGTCTCATTAGTCTATTAATATCGGGCTGGTGTTAATGTGTTCAGGATACGACGAAGACACACATGCAAAGTAACTGCCAATTTTGACATCTTCACGAAAATCATTACTAGTAAGATAATAATTCATTAGAATTAAAATTGTTTTTTGCCTCACTTAGTTTTTAAAAAATTGTAAAAAATTCATTTTGGGAGTTTTCTAATGAATTTTTTTTTTGGTTTTTAAAGCTTAGTTAATAAAAATAGATTTTATCAAATCCAAATCACTAAGAATATGATTTTATGTGAAAAATTGCAAATTTATTTCTAAAAATGCTAAAAACACTCAAAAAATCAATTTTTTCTGCAAATTATTAACTTTTTCACAAATAACTACGCATATACGACGGAGAATTAATTTCTCAAGAATAAAAAACATTTTCCAATACTGTACACCTAATATTTCCAAAGATATTCCATTTTTTCAGAAATGTTTTTGCAAAAAAATGCAATTTTTGCAAATTCAACCCAAAATCTATGTTTTTTACTATCTAAAAACAAAGAAAATCAAAGAAAACTTACCGTTCTTCATCAGCAAACACGAATTTCCTCAGCTTGAGATCCCGCAGGACGATACCGTTGCGATGGCACACCTGCACCGTCTCCGCGATTTGCCGAAACATCTTCTTCGCCTCCGACTCGCGCAGCCGCTTCCGCGTCCGCACATGCGAATGCAGGTCGCCGTGCGATCGCGGAAACACCAGGTACATGTGCCGATTGCACACCAGCACCTCGTGCAGCGAGGAAATGCGCGGATGCGAATCGAGCCGATAGTGGGCGGATAACAACGAGTGCGAGTCTTGAGATACCACCTGCAAATCAAAAACAAAACAAAATAAAATCACAAAACAAAATAAAACAAAATTTAAAAAAAACCTTGAAATATAACTAAAACTCTCCAAGGCACGAAATACAACAATTATCACGTTGAGACGATCTCACACAGAACGTCGTGACAAACCCGACGATTGGCAACCATGTGTTGTCATGGCAACAAATTTAGCCAAAGCTAAACATCATCACGAATGTGTAAATCACGCGCTGTTTTGTAGGTCGACGCGTCTAACACGATTAAACATCATAAACTGCAACGTGCAGAACACATACAAGTTATTACACTGCATTGTGCATACATAAATCACTTCAAGAAAATGCAAAATGCAAATGCAAAATTTTTGGGCGAGGTAAAAATGTTTCAGCTTTCAAATCACTTTATCTTCATTTGTTTCGAACAACGTGTTTGATTTGAGTAATACACATTCATCTCGCTGATTGCGCGCACGATTGCCGCACATGTTTCGCCACATTTCGTCAAAATCAAAAACGTAAAGTTCAAAGCGCACACATTTTGCAACTACTCGCATCAAATCACACACACACATGACTACAAACTCTGACCATTTTCAGATGTCCACCGCGCGCGCGCGCATATTGTATGTAAATATTAAATATCAATGTCAATTTTTGGCGAAATTATGATTAATATTTTGCAACATGTTTGCCATTCTCGGCGCGATTGGCACACACGCTAATTATTGATAATTTACATCGTGTCACATTATTATTATTCTCGCGCATATCGAGAGCAGGCGAGCAGGCGAGCAAGTTGCGTTGGTGCGGCTAATCTCGAAAAATTATTTATCGCGAAATTGGCAAATTTGCATTACGCAATCGCGCTCGTCATGCGCACACACATCGCGAGGATGCGATTTGGCAACAATTCATTATAAATTTTTCTTAATCGACGCATCATCCGATAAGATGACAATTGAACAAACGAAACAATCAAATGTTTAATATTTCCAACCCAAAAAATCGGAGAAATATAAATGTAATGTGTAATCAAGATGTGTTTATTACGCGCCGAGTGAGTGAGATTAGCAAATTTCACGTTAGGCAAATCCTTATATATCTTACACAGAGATATATCTCTGGAAATCTACATAATTGTCGATTGTCGCTGCTAATTCCATTGCCGGCGCGCTGTTTGCACAATTTCTCTCTTACAAATCTTACTTACAAATGTTGCTCGTTGCGCCGCCGGAGACTCTTTCACTTCTCTTTCACTCCTTCGCAGCGCACACAGCGTATTTCATTACACACAACCGACTGCAACCCGAACGCGATTACGTTTTGCACCTTTCAATTACATTCATTGCATTTAGTAAGAGCATAATGCAACAACAATGAATATGATACCTTCCTAATGGTACACACTTTCATAATATTTACATACACTATGTCCACAGGGCAAAGATAATCTGTAAAAATCTGAAATCAGTAAATTTCGTTGAATTTCAACCATTTAAACTTTAAATCACCCATAAAACTCCCGTGGAGACATTCAAATATAGAAGAATATTATAAATAGAACCTGTTATTACTGGATAATGACCCGATGGACAAGTCCTAATCACTTGTCTTGTCGCAGATAATATCCTCGTAAATTCCAAGTAGGGCAAAACCAGTTTATAAGTACAAGGGTTACAAATGCGTAGGTATATAAAACAATTTCGATGGAAAATGTTGCATGAAAATGTGAAGTGATAAAAGTTTTGCGTGTGTTTGCGCTTGAATTAGGCGCAAACATTGCTCGTATTTGCTTAATGACATTTCAAACATTTGAGCAACGGCCCCGCGCGCGATTACATTGCAAACACGAGCGCGCAATAAAATTCGCAACATTCTCGCGTAGTGCAACACACGCATTACCAACCAGGCAACGTCCACAACTCTACGAGCTGCGCGCGCGAGCAAAGAACCAACGAGCGAGTGTTTTAATCGCGCCGTTTAACGATGCCTTTGTTAATCGACGGCGTATACCTACTTTTGCCACATGTTTGCGTTGCGATTGCAATTGCGCAGATGTAGTATTAAAGTAACAAACTGTACTATAATTCTGTATTAACTAGTTGCTAGAGTAAATTTTATTCTCTCAAGTCATAAATGTCGTCTTAAATCAACTTTTGAATCAAATTAACTATGTTTTAATGTAGGTATTTATAGCAAAAAAATATTTTTTTTAAAGAATTATTTGTGTTTTTTGATAGAAAATGACATTTTATTTTGTAATTTTTGAATCCACGTTAAATTTTTGACTATAAATGAGCATAATTCGGCAAAAAACAAAATTTAAAACTCAAATTCCAGTAAAAAACTCAATAAAACACAATCAAAACACCGGGAAATGACGTCAGTGTTGAGTTGTACGCTGTAATTGGTGTTTCTACCGAATTTCCCTAAAATTGCAGTTCATTTTTATTAAAAAAGAAAAAAACAAATTTCCCAAAAAATCAAAAAAAAAATTCATAATTTTTTCTTCCCTAAAACGTTTTTCTTAATTTTCCCAACATTTTAATCAAAATTAATCAAAGAAAAATTCATTTTCCGAAATTACAACAAAAAATTAACCTCTCACACTCAAAATGTCATCACAAACCAGCTAAAATTTAATTCCAAAGAATATGTTATACGCTGCGCAGTGTTTAAATGTTGCGTTAATCAAACGATTGCACGTTTTGCAACAAACACTCAACTCAGCTTGCCACACTTATCCTCACTACGCTAACATTTCACGTGCCGTCGCAGACAACATACGCCGAAGAGAGAATCTCGCAGAGATCGAACGTTTAACCTATCACATCATAAATGATTTAAGCGAGCATCGGAGCAATTATTGCGATTGCTCAGTTTTAAAAGATGCACAAACTGACAAACGAACAACACATCGAGTCTCACAAAATGCCATCACTTGTTGACTCAACAAGGCAGAGAGGCAGACCTCGACTGGAGGCAACTTTCATGGACCATGAGAGAATGACGAGATAAACCTCCTCGCTGAAGACGCCGCGCGGACGCAATCTAATCATACTTTGTCACGCGTTTGCAATCGTTTTACGATGAAGCCTTTTAATAAAATTATCATAACTTAAAATGTCCAACCATCTGTTGTAGGAGTGTAATTGAATTTTATGATTCGGAAGTTCACACGAAACGAAACTAACTGTTTGATGCAGAACAACGTCCAGCAAAGAGATCATAAAATAATTTCAATTGAAACTTTAAAATTTACGAGCGTACAAGCATAATAAAACATGTTTGGACCAAGAAAAGATGCTGGACGTCAAGAAATCCGCACACAAAGAAAAGGAATGTAACAAGTTCCCTGAATGAACGAAAATAACAAGTGAAAGACTCGAATAACAGGGGAAGAAAGAAAGTGGCACCCTAATATAAAAGAAATGCTCAGGTTTCACACCTTTTGCAAGGTCATTATCATTCCGTAAGGGTACAAATGTTTTGTCTTCTTCTCCAGCATCACCTTGAAATGACATCACCTGACCTCACTACACAATTTGACACACAAATCGTTTCACAACTGCATATGATCTTCGGCTTGTGCGCGCGCGTTGTTGCTCAACCTGCACAAATTGATAAAACGTCGATTGCCAACACCAACATAATATATCCACCGGATGTCTATTGCGCAACGTGCGGCAAATTTACATATCAATCCATCCATCATTTTCCCACTCGCCGTGTGAGTGTTTTTTCTTACTCTTTTTCATCTCGCGAGGACGCCGCGTTCCATTCTCACCTTGCGGAGAATTTAAATACTCACGGGACAAGGGCACGCGTGGACCTTGTTACATTTTACAATTTGTGCAAAAATCAAAATGGTGTTGCTAGGCAACGTGATGATTTTTTTGTTTGAATGTTATCAACTCCGGTTGGGTTTAAATTTAAATTTTAAAATATTTACTTTGTGCGCTTACGTAACATGCGCGGGCGCCGATGATAAAATGTTTTAACAACACACACACAAAAAAAACGTTGCGAAACGCGCGCACAGCGGACTTAAGTCAGTGGCCTTGACTTAAGTCGCGCGCTTCGTATTTTTAGCACACGTGGGGCGCATTTAACACAACCGAATAACAACTTTGTGATTATTATCAACGACGTAATTCTTTATGTTTTTAGAATATTTTAACTAACCTTGCACACAAGTTGTTCTTGTGTGTTGACATCAATACAGCGAAACAATGAGCTGCCTTCCACCTGTTCTAGGAGGAGGTATTTATCTGCAATCAGTGTCGCTTCGAAATTTTCCCCATGTGGCGGTGTGGCAGCATGTTGCTGACGCGCCGGTTGTTCCGGCACGCGCGGCACTCGCGCCTCCACGTTGTTGCCGGGGGCGGCAGGGCGCGACCGACACTTTTTGATCCCGTCGGTGGTGGTGGCCGGACACGCCGGCTTTTCGCCACCGCCGACGCCCGTGCCGCTCGTATTGGGGCTGAGGAATCCGCTTAGCACTGCGTTCTGCATCTTGATGATCTTTCGCACGTGTTGTCTTGGGGAGTGTATGTGTAATCCAAAGAGTGTATTGTATTGAACTGATATCCGGCTTGTGAACGCACTGCGGGGGCACTTGTTTAGCGCGACACGGAGCACACGAGTTTCTGCGTACGGTTTCAGACACGAGCGCGCATCACGATCACGTTGTTCGCCAACGGCCGTTCACCACAACGCTCGCTTGCTGACTGAGTTTGAGTTTGAGTTCGTGCGAGGTGCGAGCGCGAGTCACGGCCACAATCAATTGTTGAACTTGTTTAGAAATTTCAGGAGCGACCAATCAGAGGGCAGCGTTGCTGCGACAATGCACGAACGTACACGAAGTTGTATAACTTGCAAAATAAACCTGTAATATAGGCAACTTTATTAATCATTAATAAACAAACTTATTTAAAATTAAAATAAATTAAATAAATACAAAAATTTATAATATTTTCAACATAATTGTACAGTAGTTAATTAATATAAAATATTTTTAAATTTAAGTAAGGTACAAAATTTATTTAAAACGTTGTTTAACTATAGGCAACCCAAAATACAGCTGATGCTTGTATTCTAACCACACAGTTGGTTTGTTGTTTGTTTCTTGCAACGGAAAAATACAAATCACGCAAGATGAGCAGCGCAAATAAAGTAAAACACTGATTAATTCGATAAAACATTTAATAATACATTATTATCTGATTATAGGTAGGAGAAATCTTCACAGCTGCAGGCGCAGCCTTCAATAAACTAGGAGATTTAACAATGCAACTTCATCCAAATGCCGAATCACCAGCTGGGTAAAGTTAAAACAATTAAATTTAACCCTACAATCAATTATTTAAAGCCTTTTAAAACTAAATTCTTAATCATTTACACTCTCAGTGACCAATTATTCATATTCTTAATTCATTATGCTTCATAGAAAGTGGACAGATGAAGAAATTGAAATGTTACGCTCAGTGGTGAAAAATTTCTCAGATGGTTTACAAGATATCAGTGAACACATTAAATTACGCACGGTGTAAGTTGAAGATAATAACTTTCAATTTCTTCATGCACCTAAACACCGTTTAAAATGTTTATTTCTGTTGCAGAAACCAAATTAGAACAGCGCTTAAAAAGAAAGCATTTGAAGATGCAGGAATTCCCAACAGACAGACCCAAAGTCAACAGATGCCTCAGCAGTTGATGAAACAAGAAGTAACACTGAATATGCTGAATGCAGCTGAAACAGAAGTGGATGTTGAAGGTTTACATGAAGATGTCAAGCTGGATTTTGATGGTACAGAGGAAGTAACATCATAAAACCAATTCTCTTGCATTATTTAGGAATTAATAATTTAATTAAGTGAATATAATGATCCACAACAAAGCAATTCAATTTATCTGATCACTTGTATGTTTAAAACAGAATATTATGCGTTTCCATTCAGTTTTTGTGCTTTCAAACACTTTGATCATGTTTAATTCATTTGTAAAGAATAGTTCAATGTCTTTCACAACGTTAACCCGCATTTTTAAGGTTTTAAAGTGTTGAAATTCAATGTTTCCTTTCATTCTTTTAACTGCACTTGTGTAACATTTCCATGGCTGAGGTTCAACCACAAACATCTCACATAAAGCAGTCATATTCTTTAAAAATTCTTGCAAACCTTTGTCACCATGATTCAAATGTATCCACATTGTTGTGGAGAAACAAAAAATTGCATCAAACTTTGTTTTTTTGTTATTTTTAAGGAAGTTGTCTATTAAAAGTGTAAAATCTGATTGAGTGCAATCTGAGGTCTCAAATTGAATGTTGGAAGTTGTATAATTCTCTCTGGCTCTTTCAATTAATACTGGATCTATGTCCACAGCAAGTATTTGTAGTTTTGTTGACTGTGGAAGCTGTTTTTGTAGAAAACACATTAATTCATGTGTTAAGTTCTAAAAATCAAAGTGGTTGATATTTTAAAGTAAAATGAAAGTTTAAATATACTAACCCCTGCATTGCAGCCTATATCAAGGGCTAGGAATGTATCTTCAGTTGTGTTGGGTGTTGCTGACCAAATATGTGATGGTAAGAGTGTTATTCTATTTGAAGGCGGGTTAAATTCGTAATAATTGATAAAATTGCCATATTGCACTGCACCAGGGTTATTATTTTTAAATTGCAATTCGTTTGAACTCATTCTCAGAGTTTTTCTAATTAAAAATATAATTGAATTCATCAAGTATTAGTTTTGGAGGTTATAAATGTGGTTGATTTATAAAAACTTTATTAAATCATGTAAAAGATGCTCAGTTTGATTTAATTATTTATTAGAAATTTGAAAACAATTTTTTAGTTAATAATACTCTAAAATATTGCAAAAGAAATGCAAAAATTATATTTTTGAAAAGTTACTTCTAAAAATATCCGTCCGATGGCGCTAGGAGTATCAAAATAGGATTTATTTTATTTTATTTTATTTACTACTTATGGAAATATACCATAGCGCATTTGTAAAACTTGTAAACAACATCACACTTATCAGTGCCTGTTGCTTCTTTTGTACACTGCTCAGCCTGCGCTTGATCTTTCGGGAACATGATTGCGTTGACTTTGTCTAATTCAAAATGGCCGCTGGCATCGTTATAAACACCAAAACCGCTCATTATGCAATGCACGAAACATTTAACTGCATGATCCTCAGTGAATTTTAGTTTTGTCAAGTCATCGATGAGAGCCTGGCTAGGATTGTGATCTGCGAGACATCCAGCTGACAAGGTAATGAATTTTAACTTTGCGGATTGATCCAAGTTCTAATACACAACAAATAATAAATTACACTGGCCAAAAATACAAATTTATCACTTACCAAAAACTCTACAATACTTTTACCCTGGCTAGAATTAACCAAGGCAACAATTAGAAGTGTTTGCAGCGCAAGATGGCGGAGAGTCTTCATCTTGTTGAAAATGAATACAAAACTGATTTACTTCAACGAATAACTTGCTTTTTATGCGATGTGCAATCAATTGATGCGCAGTAATGCAATAATTATTAAATTATGCCACTTTTTCTATGTTTACCACGATGACACCTTCGTTAACAACCAGTTATAGGTCAAGGAGAAAGCGCAATAAAAACCTGATACATTTACGTAATTAATTTAATTGTGTTGTGTGCACTTTGCATCGTAATTATAAGTTAGAAATTATCTCATGGTAGCAGTTGCCCTGGCAGTTGCTTTAATAGTCTCGCTGGTTTACTAATACAGAGAGTAGCGTCGTTCGTGCGTCACCTGTGCCATCGTATGGTGGATCCAATGCAGATAATTCGAAACGTTGGCGTAAATCCCATAACGCTGCGGCTTGCCACAAGCATCGCCAAAACTGGTAATGCCTTGTACGACATATCCGGTCGGCTTGCGTCGGCGGCTCGCATCATTCCGCCATGTTCGGCACAGAAGTCCACCGCCGCTGTCACCTGCGCATGTGTCGATCTTACCGGTCGAATAACCGGCGCAAAACATGTTCTGAGAGATGTAGTAGTCGGAATATGCTGCTTTGCATGTTTGCCATTCAACTATAGGCAACTAAAACAACACATTAAGTTATTACACGTTATATAAACTTATAGGTTATGTTATACTTTAGCTTCTTGTAAAATATGATATCCGCCATTATCTCTGGATGCATCTCGTGCACCCCAGCCTAACACCGTACACTTTTGTGCTGTTTCCTGAAACTGCGGATTTTCACTCGGCAGGCAAGCAACAGGTGTCTTCACCGCACGTGCCATATACAATAAACCAATATCATTGTCAATATTCCTCTGATCGAAGCCAAAATGCCGGATAACTCTCTCAATCGGTATCTCAATCTCACCATCCGGCTCCCACAAATCAAACTCGTTGATTCGCACTTTTAACTTGCTGCGAATGCAGTGCGCTGCTGTGAGCACCCATCTTGGTGCTATTAATGTACCCGAACAGAACGCTTCCTACAAAAATATTTATGCATTATAAGGTTAAACACATCTGCAGCGCAAACAAAAGGCGAACGTGTTGGAATCTCGAGCGATGCATATATTAATAAGCGCAATGCAAAACATGAACTTGATGTATGTACGTCTCTTTGTGTTTGCTGCAGTTGGTTTGTTTTGCTTACATCGTGCTGGTTGACGACCGCAACGTGCCAAGGCCACAAGCCGCGACTAGCGTCGCGCCCGCCCTTGATCTTCAGCATCGCGTGCTTCCGCAGCGGGCGCCCACATTGCTGCTTGTATCGTGGGGTACGCGTGCCGCTGGTGTGCGCATGCGTACTAGCTACCGTCGTTGTCTTTACTGTAGTTCCAACATTCAATTGTAGGTTGTACTGTGACAGGTGATCGTTTACTTTGCGTTCACAGACTGAATTCGAATAGTAACACCATGCGTTTTGATACTTTTTTAGTTTTGAACAACGTCCTGGTTTTTTACAGACTTTATATCGTTGTGTACTGCATGATTTACTGCATTTTGACCATGCGGACCATTTGCTCCAAATGCGGGATTTATGACGATTTGGGATTCTTTCCTACAATGAAATATTATTAAAATATTATTTATTATAAAATAATTTACTTACAAAATGTTTCACTTCTTGTGATTGTTTTGTGTTTATTTGCACAACACGCATCCGCCGGCGTGATCTACGCTTGTGCCATAACCTCAAACAAATAGACTTTCTACATGGCCTCTCTTCAAGTTCTTCTACATTCGCCCAGGTGGCGTTAGTGTATAGGCGTTGCATCGTACGCTGCTGGTGACATCTCTCGCATTTGGACCATGGCGTCCATTTTGTGAACACCAACTTTGACACATCGCCACTCTGCAATCATAAATAGTTAATAGGAATGAAAAGCGAAAGAGTTAAATGGAATTGGGTCAGTAGCGTTTTAATTCGTTGTCATTCGTCACGCAAAACATGAAATGCATGTTTTGCACAGCGTAAGTACCACTTTTAGGTTAAGGACGTTTAGGTTAGGCTTCCAATGTGACATCATAAAGGTGCATTTATGATTAGTCTAATCTATAAATACAATCAATGTGTTTTTGTTTGTGTATTTCTTTTTTTAAAACACATTGCGTGGGTGTTTTCATTCATTTCCTCGTATATCACATTTATTGTCGCTTGTATCGCCTCATTGCTTTGTTTATTTATCGCATCGTTTATGAGCAAATGATCAGCGTTAAGTTTGATTTGTTGCGGATGTAGCGCGCACCTTTTTAAGTCAATTCTAGCTGCGCGGACATTTATTGCAGCGCGCGCAGCTTTCTTTTTACACGCAGAGGATGAGTGCGTGAGCGGTGGTGTAGAGAATGCGAGGGTAGAGGAACAAAAACGTTAAATAAATCTTACGATTGTGTAAAGATGTGTTTGGAGACTCGAAACACGGAAGATGTGAGTTTAGCAATTTATGAAAATTCATTTTATCGCGTTAAATAATTATGATTGTAAGTGTTTAATTTGCTGGCGTGGACAGAATTCTCGAGGTGTTAAATGTAGATATTTGCGAGAATTTCTAATTTGCGCGAAATGCATTCAGCAAATTAGCGACAGAGCGTTGACATCAAGACATCACTGCAGCTTGTGCGCGCATGGGTTACTAACACTCGTAGATCCAATGAGGAAATGTTTTGTCGTCATAATTCAATTCTCAGACTCACTACTTATTCTCCTTCTCATATTGCAGATCTCATGGTGATATAAAATACGCGCATTTTATGTCTAAGCATGTGTATTTTATAGTTGTGTAATACTTTTATTGACGTAAAGTTTTTAATGCACAAATAAAGTTGAATATTGATTTTTGGGGAATTCTGAATGAATTAGTGCATTTTACGTCAAATACGATAACATTTGACTTTTGCATTTGTAGTTTTTAAGTTAATTTATGTGTTTTTACATTTATTGATAAAGTATTGATGATATTTAAAGTGAAAACTTCTTTTGGTTTTTTTAAATTAATTTTTCTGAAGGGATAATCGTGAAACAGTTTTTAATTCATTTTAATTAGATTTATACATCTATAATACAAAAATAAATCGCAAAATCTGTTGGTAAGCGTATAACTCAACAACGCGTAGACTAATTTGTCCAATTCTTTTTTTAAAATGATTGTTAAAGTCCAAGGATGGTTTTTACGACGAGAAAAAATTGAATAATTGCCGGGAAAACCCTAAAGACAGCCTTTTTCTATAGGATAAAAGTTGGCGTTGAGATTCAATCATAGTTATAGTTAAATAGTTGAATCCGAGATGGCGCGCTGAAGTGCATTATTAGCAATTCTTTATATAATTAACTTTTTTTTAAATAAAATTCCGAATCTTATTGATAGAATTGACACATACCTACCATGTCTAGAACACGAGAGTAAAAACAAATTACATTATTAATAATAACTACGGGGATAAAATCACGTGCAAAAGTTTCACAGAATCGTGATAATCATGAATAGTGTTTAATTTATCATTTGACAAATAATTCAGAAAATAGTGCAACAAATCTGACATTGTGACATCTCGAATGTAAATTACCCTAAATCCTCCGTTATCAACAATTAAATTCTGAGATTAATTAATTTATTGCAACATTTTCCACTGAACAGGTATTAAAATCCTCTTGAATCCACTTATTTCTTATTTTTTTGATTATTTTTTAAAGTAATTACCTCATATTAATACCATTTCAATTAAAATTAATCCAAATACTTTTTCTGACTTTGCACGCGCCGCACAAAATCAAATTTTTACATCGCCTGCGATATTTTTAGGACATCATAATCCATTACAATCAATACACTTATGATTATCAGGTGATTTTGACAAGCAACTTTGCACTTTGCAATTATGACTAATAACAATTACTTAAACACAACGCGTAATCAACTTCAAGTGCAAAAAATAAATCATTCCCAGAACACACACACACGCACACATTGATATCCCAATAGATAACAAAATGATAACACTTTTTCAACAAAGAACGCTTGCAATCATCCACCTTGTGTAAACTCTTCATCGTTCAATGTCCGTTACAATGTCAATTGTCGCGACAAGCGCATTATTGTCACACGAACAAATATCACATTTCACAGCCATGAACCGCATCATCCAACAACACACGACGACATAAATCATCCTCTGATAATAACCAGAGTTTGCAATTTGCGCGATCAATTGATTAACGATTAAAACAATCACGAAATAGGTCATCATTCGCGAATCATCCGCAGGCGGAACATAAATATTTACCCGAAAAAAATCGCAAGTGAATAAAAAAAGGTACGAAATTATCCATGGCAACGGATACCTATTTTTAAAACATCCAAATTGTTTGTTTTAATAGGTGTTAAAGACCTATTCAACGCTGTTATGTTTACACGTGTTTAAACAATTCGTACACTTACCAAATTTTTCGCGCGTATGCCATCGATTTTAATCACGGTTTGCTCCGCGATACAAAGCGAAATAAAAACGAGCGAAAATAGCAATAAATACTTTTTAAACATGTTCACTTAAAACCTAGTATTATCACGTTATTATAGTAATTAAGTACGAATAACTATTAATATTTTAATACTGCATGTTGTGCGTTTATCTGGCGATGATTGCATTTATCGATATCGACGTGGTGTTATCACAGACATTTAGAATATTTATTTTGTTTCTATCACGAAACGCACGTGTATTTTTTATTATTAAATGAAAAACTCAATTTTTATTATTTTGATGAATATAATTAATGTGTAGTTAGATTTAATTAGTAATAACAAGTGTATTAGTTTCACTGGTTTGTTTAATTACAAGTATTATAAAAGCTATGATGAGTTAAGTGTTAATTGATTTGCTATAAATAAGTTTAATTGGCAATTCGCGATGTTCGCGATCCACGACGACGACGACGCGCACCACACGAACACGTGGCTCGTACTGACTTACAACTAACGACGCTGAGCTTAACTTATCGTACGCTTTGCTGCGACGCAAGTGACTTAAAGCTACTCACACATTCTTTTCGACTGCAGCATGTTATGTTCCACTTTCGGCGTGTAGGTGGATGGTGTTTTAATTTACAATTCACCATTTTACAATTTCCAATTGAATTTTCAATTGAATCTATTTTAAATTTAAAGGTTTTACAGGCTCCAAAGTTCGCTCTGTGGGTATTTTAGTGCAGGTATAAATCTTACAAACAAGTTAAAAGAAAGAAAAAATAATGATGTCGGACGGGTGCAGGCAATAAACTACCTGTTTTCAGTTTTTACCTGCACTCAAACTGCAGCAACAAAAAATTGAATTATTTTTTATACAACTTATTGGAAATCAATCATTTTGGTGTCTTCCATTGTGGGATTAGCGATGATGTTGTTGAATATTTCACTATCGCGATCGATGACGATCGTGCCGAGTAGATGCTTTTGTTGCATTGCATTGCGGCACTTGAGTTTGACGATCACTTTCGTCTTGTCCAGATTGTAGTTGTTGATGGTGGTGATCATCGTCGCCGAGTCTTTCTCGATGCGCATGCTGATCGTTGGCGCGAAGGTGTCACCCTTCCATTTGGACACGACTACGTCGTATTCGTGCGTTGCCATTTTCAAATATAAATTACCTGTAAGTGGAGTTGTTGTATTTTTTATATTTTTTTGTTTGGCGGTTGGAAATGCACCAGCGGAAAAAAGTGACGCGCATAAAAGCGTATTTTTAGAGTGGTCGTGAATGAACTCACCGCCCAGTTGCTCGTGCGATTGCATTGTCGCCATGCTGCATCTAAATTTGGTGAGCGAGATCTGCAGCATGTCGTTGCGGCCGTCTTCGCTGTTGGAGTACTTCATTGATATCTCTAGGCTTCCTTTTTTGCTTTCACGCTAAAAAAAAAACAAGAAAATAGTAAATTTAGTTGTAAAATGATTTTTTAAAATTTTTTGAGGTTAGACAAATTATTCTGGGGTTTTGAGAAGGCGCAAATACTATAAATTAAAAATTACAAAAGATTTTTCAAAATTTCTTAATTTTTTGTTGAAAAAATGGCAGATTATGAATTTTTTGTAAATTTTCTGTTTTGAAAACCTTTTTTAATTAAAATATGTATTAGAAAATGTGCCAAAATATATTTTGGTATCAAAAGTCATGTTTTTCTTTTGAAATATTGATTTTTTGATAAAGTTTAACTCAAAAAACCATTAATTTTTGGCAAATTCTAAAATTTTAAAAATGTCCGCTTAAAAAAAAGCATATTTTATCAAACAATTTCTAAAAAACACACTTCAAAAACCAACTGAAATCCTATTAAGCCCAAATTACCACCAATAACAATTTAAATATTTAATACTTACTGATTTGATTTCACTGCCTGTTAGAGTCTTAATTGTCCTCCATATATCCGGCGTGTAAAAAGCACCACCTTTACCACGATCAGTAAAAATACTCCTATCCAAACTGAATGAAATAGCACCAATTGTACGACGACTATTTAGCGAGAACCGATCCACAGACTCAGAACGATTGACTTTAGATCGTAGTTTAACATCGGAATCACTACCACCACTGATTAAAGCCCCTATCTGGTTCCTCATAGACAATTGTTTAGTGACAGGTTTTCTTTGCTTCCCAGCAGCACCTCCCAAATCAGCATAAATCGTAAAAGTGACAAATTTCCCCACGAATTGACCCATGTGTGAAATCCCAGCCGGAAACAAAAAATGCTCATCAAAGCAAGGACTTGCAGAAGGTAACACAGTGGTTTCAAATTTTTCTTTACCAGGATAAAGTTTTACCTGAAAAAAATTTTATGAAAAGTGTCGCCCAACGTGGGGCTCGAACCCACGACCCTGAGATTAAGAGTCTCATGCTCTACCGACTGAGCTAGCCGGGCATGCGTAGAACACAAAATTCTATTCAAATCAGCTTACTTTAACAAGATATCCTTTGGGTTTAACACTGCCAATAGTAGTTGGCAGATTCCTCGCTGCAATCACTCTCACACCAACACTTTTCCGCTCCTGATAATATAAAATTTTGAAACCCAATTGCGGTTCTCCCAATGGATCACTCCCATCAGCCCCCTCGGCTGGACTCAACGTCAACGCTGTTTTTATTTTTTCAAACCAACTCATTTCAACGTTTTGGATTACAATTGTTGATCACTTGAATGTCGACTGATCTCAAGTGGACATTGAGTTGAAACTGGAAGCACACAGACTTTAAATTAATGCGGCCGCGCCGCCGCCTCGCGTTTTGTTCCCTAACAATTCAACTGTGGCTATGGAGTTAAATTGATTAATGATTTAATGATCAGCGTGCTCGGCCCGAACGCATGCAACTGCCTTCGCCTTCATGTGACACAGTTTACACACTTGAAGAAACTTTCGAGGCGTTTTCAATCGTGATAAGATAAGATTTGCTAATTTAGGATAACTCAGCGCTGTTATCAGCATGCTGATGCATCAAATTGTGTGCAATTTCGTTAATCTAGCAAGTTTAAACAATTTTTACGATCGGGAAAAATGGTAACGACATTAAACGAGATTAGCAGATAGACTTAAGTATTATATTAGTTTTACGTTTAATTTACATGCGTTAAGTACGATTAGGTTATATTGATGCGTCGGAATCATGCGGGTCGTCGAACAATATCGAATGGCGGACCTCCTTGTTGAAGCTCACAGATTTCGACGTGCCTTCAGTCATGACAGAATCAAGGTCATCATCAACGGGTGGTTTGTAGGGTGGGAGCGTGCTTTGAACAGATTGGGTATCGATATCGGCAATCTCTAAGATCTCATCAACCGTAGCTGGTGAAGGTGAAGGGTTGAGGGGATAACCTGTTGCACGTCGTTCAATTCTTTTAGACAGCATACCATCACTGATACGAGCCGGGTGTTTGACAAATTCTCTAAAAACAAAAATTACTTCAAGGTCATCAATAATTCATCAAATATTTACATCTTTTGCAGGTCACTTTCTTCTTCTTTTTCTTCAGGAGGTGGGGAGGGGGCAGATGGGGGAGTAGGGAATACTGGTGGTAATGGTGCGGGTTTCTTCTTGTAACCAAACACTGGGGAACTGCCTGCGCTTGATTTCTCCTCCACTTTGGAATCAGGTAGGTCTTCAGTTGTTTTGATGGATCCGGATGAAACACTAGGAGATGATTCGTTGTCCAAATTTGACCTGTACGGAATACTGTTGCTATTTCTGGAGATAAATAATAATAATAATAATAAGGTTATCTTAATAGAGATTATTAATATTGGGCTTACTTCATTCGTCGATACAAGAAAGCTCCTCCAATAAGAACAGCAACCAGCATAACACTTATGATAGATACAGCTACGATCAAACCAACGTTATCATCAGAAGACCCGGGAGATCCTTCATCACTGCTAATGACTGTTGTGCTAGTAACAACCACGTTTTCTGTGTCTACAAACAAAGCTTTTATCTCGGTCAAAGTTAAAGGTTCCTTGGTTTCGTCCAAGGCGTAGATGATAGCGTTCAAGGTTCGTGTGGGAGCTTCGGTGGTGTCACGGATATGGCGCTGGAAGGGATTAGCCATTGTTACAGGAGCATTCTGGTACATCTTGTTTACGAATAACAGATGCACCGTTGCTTTGTCAGTGGAGACTGATGCAAGGAAGGATTCCACCTCGTCGATTTTCTTATTTACTGTGATTGTAGCCATGTGGTCGGTATCCAACAAGATGACCCCCAATATCATTGGAACACAATGTTCAGGTTGGCCTTCAGCGTTTGAATCGCAGGCTTGTACAGTGTACACTTGATCACTGTCATCATACATGGCATTCGTGGGATATACTTCTCCACTCTCGCCATTCACCTCCAATTGATCAGGACTCAGAGACGAATATGTAATTTTACCAAAATTACCATCTGCTGAATCTGCATCGGTCGCGTGTAATTTTACCAGGTATGGCGGTTGGATATAATTCACCAGGTTTTTGTTGGGATAACCCACAACACGCGTGGTGTCCATTATTGGAGAGTTATTATTTATATCTTCAATTTTTACGGATATGATGGTCTTGTGGGGTTCATTGGGAGTGTACTGTTCTTTCATTGCAATACCTTCAATTATCTCACGTTTGTGTCGAGATGATTCAGGAGGGCATTTACCATCTCCAATGTCGGCAAGTTTCTTTTGTTGGACTATGACCGTAAATTGGGGTACCTCCATTTCTAATAACTTGGGTTCTTCACGAATGAATTGGCGGCATTTTACATCACCATTGTCGATATAGAAGATATCTGTAATAATGATATATTTTATGTTTGTTTCAAGAGGTCTTTTTGTATGTACCTTCAATTTCCGGGATATATTCCTCTATACAGAAACCATACTCTTCTTCAGCAAACGCGGGTTTCGGCAAGACAAGTTGATCTGTTTTTTGATCTTCTGGGAGTGTTATAATAACATGGGAATAGTCTGTTTTGTAATCCAGAATGGGTTGGTCTTCATCTCTTATAATGACCAATACCAACTGATAAAATACGTGATTAAATTTAGGTTTTACCAGATTTACTGTTACTTACCGGTGCTTCAGCTGTTTTCTTGCTATGACTTCCTGTGGCTGTTATTTCCAGTTCAAGAATTCCCACGGGTAGACGTTGCGTCACAATTACAACTCCAGTTGTAGGGTCAATGGATACCCCTGTTATTCCTGTTAATTCATAGGTGATCTCGTCTTGAGTGTCTTTGCTTGTTGCTTTCATCGTGACAACCTCCCAATTTGTAACCTGGTCTTCAATTTTGCTGTGGGCGATTTTGTACTCTTCGAAGCTAATGCCTGAAGGTACCTCTTCAGTATCTCTTATGATTTCTAAGGATACTATGGTGAAGCCTTCATCATCTGTAGTTGTGGCAATTATTGGGAAGGAAACCATCTTTACACTCTCATCAAAATCTGCACCTGTTGTTACAGTTAACACGAATTCCTTATCGGTGACAACTTCTGTGATTGTGAATTCAGATGTGCTGGGGTCTTCGCTATCCAGGTCGACGTGAATATTGGATTGTCCAGAAGTAATCGTAATTGGACCATTGTTCAAAGTTATTTTCCATTCCTTGTTGATTTCTTGTTGCAACCTGCCTGAGTACAACGCGTTGGAGAATTTGATAGGGTTAGGTGATGGTGGGTCACCTCCAGCGTTATGGGCAATGGTTAATATAATAGTAGTTTCTGCCGTAGACCCAGTTGATGTCATGGCTGTAAGAATGAAAGTGACTACGTTCAATTCAATATTATCTCCAATTTTCGTAATTTGAATCTGTTCTTCTTCCGAATCCCAAACAACCTCAAAATACTCAGCGTATTTATCAACACTCAAATCTGGTATTCCTTCGTATTCAACCAGTGCTGGATTTTCATCAGAGAATGCCACGTTTCCATCAATATCAACATTGCCCTCATAGGATGTTTGTGTGAACTTGATCTCAGGTTCCGCAGGTTGTTGTGGTACATCAAATACAATTGTGGCAGTTCCCTTTGTTCTATCAGTGTGAGTAGCGGTTATAGTCAGTATCATAACACTGGTAGTTATTTGTTTAAAGTTAGGTTTAACATTTAATTCAACAGCTTTTCCTTTGCATGATGGCGTGAAGATATCATCTGGATCTAAAGTTAGCTGCATTTGTGAACAATCTTCTTTTATTTCTATTTCTGGATCTTCTGTAATTTCTTCATTGTTAAAAGTGCCTTCATAGTAGATTTTAGTGAATTCAATTGGTGGTGGAGTTGTGGTGTCTTGCTCGATGTTTAACAAAATCGCTGTCTTTGCTTCATCTCCTTTGGTTGTTGTGGCTGTGATAAAGAAAATTACAGCCTTCATATCATCAGGAAGGGATTTTTTCACTGTAATTTTTATTGTACCACTTGATTCCCAATCAAGTTCAAAGTTCTCTTTATGTTGGTCAATCTTCAAAGTTGGTTTTTCGGTCGCACCAGTTAGTTTCGGATCCTCAGAGGTAAATGATATTTTGTTATCGATTGCAATAGTGCCTTCATACTTTGGCTGTGTAAACTCTATTTCCCCAGGTTCTGTATCCTGTTTAACGTCAAGCACGATGGTAGTTGAACCTGCTTTGTCTCCTTCCGTAACAGTCAAGATAAGTGTTAGATATTGGTCAGTGATTGAAACAAAGTCCTCTGTTACTGTAATGGTAATCACAGTACCGCTGCATTCAGCTTTGAATTTGTTGTTATCCAAAACAAGATCCATGCTTTCACAATTTGAAACTGTTTCTATCTTTGGATCAATGTCAATCGTATTTTCGTTATCAAAAGAACCAATGTAGTAGTTTTCCTTAAACTCGATGATTGATGCTGGATCCTTTGGTTCAATATCCAAAACAATTACAGTTTGATCAGTGGTACCATCACCTAGCTTGGCTTGTAAAATGAATCTTGCTACTGCCATGTCTGAAGGAAGTACTCCGTCGACTGTTATTACTATCTTGTCTGTATCCCATACGGCCTTGAAATTAGAGTCGGCTGTTTCAATAGATATAGTTGGAGTTTCATTCCAATTTTCCAAGGAAGGCTCTTCTCCGTTATCAAACTTCACGTTGTTCTTTGTATCAACACTTCCCTGATATAAGGTCTTTGTAAACTTCATCTTAGGTTCCTCAGGTTGTTGTGGTGTATTAAATACAATTGTGGCTGTACCCTTCGCTCTATCAGTAGCAGTAGCAGTTATAGTCAATACCAAAGGATCGGATGATACTGCTTTAATGGTAGGATTAACTGCCAACTCAACAGACTTTCCGTTGCAGGATGCCGTGAAAATGTCACTTGGATCTAAAGTTAGCTGCATTTGTGAACAATCTTCTTTTAACTCAATTTCTGGATCAACTGTAATTTCTTCATTGTTAAAAGTGCCTTCATAGTAGATTTTAGTGAATTCTATGGGTGGTAGAGTTGTGGTGTCTTGTTCGATGTTTAACAAAATCGCTGTCTTTGCTTCATCTCCTTTGGTTGTTTTGGCTGTCATAATAAAAATTGCTGCCTTCAAATCAGCAGGAAGGGGCTTGCTTACAGTAATTTTTATGGTACCACTATCTTCCCAAACAAGTTCAAAGTTATCTTTATGTTGGTCAATCGTCAAAGTTGTTTCTTCTTCGGATGCACCAGTTAGTTTCGGATCTTCAGAGGTAAATGATATTTCCTTATTGATTGCGATGGTTCCTTCATACTTCGGCTGTGTAAACTCTATTTCCCCAGTTGGTGGATTTGGTTGGACGTCAAGCACGATGGTAGTTGAACCTGTCTTGTCTCCTTCCGTAACAGTCAAAATAAGTGTTAGATATTGGTCAGTGGTTGGAACGAATTTCTCTGTTACTGTAACGGTAATCAGAGTACCGCTGCATTCAGCTTTGAATTTATCGTTATTGAATTCGTCGTCATTCAAAACAAGATCCATGCTTTCACAATTTGTAACTGTTTCTATCATTGGATCAATGTCAATAGTATTTTTGTTATCGAAAGAACCAATGTAGTAGTTTTCCTTAAACTTGATGATTGATGCTGGATCCTTTGGTTCAATGTCCAGAACAATTGCAGTTTGATCAGTGGTACCATCAGCTAGCTTGGCTTGTAAAATGAATCTTGCTACTGTCATGTCTGAAGGAAGTACTCCTTCGACTGTTATTACTATCTGGTCTGTATCCCATACGGCCTTGAAATTAGAGTCGGCTGTTTCAATAGATATAGTTGGAGTTTCATTCAAATTTTCCAAGGAAGGCTCTTTTCCGCTATTAAATTTTACGTTGTTCATCGTATCAACAGTTCCCTGATATAAGGTTTCTGTAAACTTCATCTTAGGTTCCTCAGGTTGTTGTGGTATATCAAATACAATTGTGGCTGTACCCTTCGCTCTATCAGTAGCAGTAGCAGTTATAGTCAATACCAAAGGATCGGATGATACTGCTTTAATGGTAGGATTAACTGCCAACACAACAGACTTTCCGTTGCAGGATGGCGTGAAAATGTCACTTGGATCTAAAGTTAGCTGCATTTGTGAACAATCTTCTTTTAACTCAATTTCTGGATCAACTGTAATTTCTTCATTGTTAAAAGTGCCTTCATAGTAGATTTTAGTGAATTCTATGGGTGGTAGAGTTGTGGTGTCTTGTTCGATGTTTAACAAAATCGCTGTCTTTGCTTCATCTCCTTTGGTTGTTTTGGCTGTCATAATAAAAATTGCTGCCTTCAAATCAGCAGGAAGGGGCTTGCTTACACTAATTTTTATGGTACCACTATCTTCCCAAACAAGTTCAAAGTTATCTTTATGTTGGTCAATCGTCAAAGTTGTTTCTTCTTCGGATGCACCAGTTAGTTTCGGATCTTCAGAGGTAAATGATATTTCCTTATTGATTGCGATGGTTCCTTCATACTTCGGCTGTGTAAACTCTATTTCCCCAGTTGGTGGATTTGGTTGGACGTCAAGCACGATGGTAGTTGAACCTGTCTTGTCTCCTTCCGTAACAGTCAAAATAAGTGTTAGATATTGGTCAGTGGTTGGAACGAATTTCTCTGTTACTGTAACGGTAATCAGAGTACCGCTGCATTCAGCTTTGAATTTATCGTTATTGAATTCGTCGTCATTCAAAACAAGATCCATGCTTTCACAATTTGTAACTGTTTCTATCATTGGATCAATGTCAATAGTATTTTTGTTATCGAAAGAACCAATGTAGTAGTTTTCCTTAAACTTGATGATTGATGCTGGATCCTTTGGTTCAATGTCCAGAACAATTGCAGTTTGATCAGTGGTACCATCAGCTAGCTTGGCTTGTAAAATGAATCTTGCTACTGTCATGTCTGAAGGAAGTACTCCTTCGACTGTTATTACTATCTTGTCTGTATCCCATACGGCCTTGAAATTAGGGTCAGCTGGTTCAATAGATATAGATGGATTTTCATTCAAATTTTCCAAGGAAGGTTCTTCTCCGCTATTAAACTTCACGTTGTTCTTTGTATCAACAGTTCCCTGATATAAGGTCTTTGTAAACTTCATCTTAGGTTCCTCAGGTTGTTGTGGTATATCAAATACAATTGTGGCTGTACCCTTCGCTCTATCAGTAGCAGTAGCAGTTATAGTCAATACCAAAGGATCGGATGATACTGCTTTAATGGTAGGATTAACTGCCAACACAACAGACTTTCCGTTGCAGGATGGCGTGAAAATGTCACTTGGATCTAAAGTTAGCTGCATTTGTGAACAATCTTCTTTTAACTCAATTTCTGGATCAACTGTAATTTCTTCATTGTTAAAAGTGCCTTCATAGTAGATTTTAGTGAATTCTATGGGTGGTAGAGTTGTGGTGTCTTGTTCGATGTTTAACAAAATCGCTGTCTTTGCTTCATCTCCTGTGGTTGTTTTGGCTGTCATAATGAAAGTTACGGCTTTCCAAGTATGAGGAAAATATTTTTCTACTGTTATTTTTATTGTACCACTTTCTTCCAAATCAAGTTTGAAGTATTCTTCATGTTCGTCAATCCTCAAAGTTGCTTTTTCGAATGCACCAGTTAGTTTCGGATCCTCAGAGGTAAATGATATTTCCTTATTGATTGCGATGGTTCCTTCATACTTCGGCTGTGTAAACTCTATTTCCCCAGGTTCTGTATCCTGTTTGACGTCAAGCACGATGGTAGTTGAACCTGTCTTGTCTCCTTCCGTAACAGTCAACATAAGTTTTAGATATTGGTCATTAGTTTGAAAGTCCTCCATTACTGTTATAGTAATTACAGTACCGCTGCATTCAGCTTTGAATTTGTCTTTGAATTTGTTCAAAACAAGATCCATGCTTTCACAATTCGTAACTGTTTCTATCTTTGGATCAATGTCAATAGTATTTTTGTTATCGAAAGAACCAATGTAGTAGTTTTCCTTAAACTTGATGATTGATGCTGGATCCTTTGGTTCAATGTCCAGAACAATTGCAGTTTGATCAGTGGTACCATCAGCTAGCTTGGCTTGCAAAATGAATGTTGCTACTGTCATCTCTGAAGGAAGTACTCCGTCGACTGTTATTACTATCTTGTCTGTATCCCATACGGCCTTAAAATTAGAATCGGCTGTTTCAATAGATATAGTTGGAGTTTCACTCAAATTTTCCAAGGATGGTCCTTCTCCGTTATCAAAATTCACGTTGTTCTTGGTATCAACAGTTCCTTGATATACGCGCTCTTTGAACTTGACTTGCACTTCCGGTTTCTGCTCCACGTTAAGGAGTAAAGTCACGCTACCTTTCTCTTTGCTACTAACAATCTCAGCAGTTAACGTAAGTAAGAGATATGGGTCAGTTATCGGTTTAAAGTTGGGTGTTGTTGAAAGAGTAATGATATTACCCGTACACTTTGCTTCGATCTCATCATTCCTTTCCGTATCAAACGTCATCGTGTCACAGGGTTTTGTTGTTTCTATATTAGGAGTAAACGTTATTTGCTTATCCAAAGCAATTGTGCCTTCGTAATTAATCTCAGTAAATTTAATTGGGTTTAAAGTCGATTGGATTATAACGTCCACGGATATCTTATCCTTTTCATCATCCTCTTTATAAACATGTATTTTGGTCTTCAACATTGTTTCTTGAAAATCACTCACCAGTTCACAACTAATGGTTTTGTCCTTATTAGAACAAATAAGTTGATCAGAATCGCATTTAAATTTATCATCATTTCCAGTATTCAGTAGCTTGATATTCAATCCCAGCGGCGCGCCTGGAGTATATTCAACAACGTAGGCGTTTTGTTCAAATTGTTTCGAAACAATAGAAATCAACAATGCGGCTGAAGAAACTGTCTGGCCACCCTGAATCGCATTCAATTCCAGATTCAAAACGGATTTTCCATAAGGCAATTGACACGCTGTGCTTTTAACTTCAACTTCTACATCAGCATATGTAGCGACAAAACAATCACTGTGATCTAAATTTTAAATATTTATTACATAATGATATTAAACAAGATAAAAGAAGCATACAACCTCCGGTAACTGTAAATGTTGTATCTGCATGATCAGCAATCTTAGCCTTCAAAGAAAATCCTAGTGGTGCTTCATCAATTCGGAATTCGCCGGTGTAAGTAGTTTCTTCGAATTCAATCATACTGGTACTTTCATCTTTTTTAATATCAATTTCAATGGTTATTGATTTTTCAGTTGCCTGTGCAGGTTTATCCTAGTTTTCAAGAATATTGAAGGTATAGTCAGATTATTTTTGAAAAGGTGTGAAATTGAAATACTTACAGTAACAGTAATTGTCAAAGTCTCTGGCTGAGTTATCGTCACTGTCGGTTTCATGGAAAGCTTAAACTGTTTGTTCATTCCTGAATCTCCCAACTTTTCTGCAAGTACCTCAAAATTGGAATTTGAGATGGCGACGTCCAAATCCACATTGTATACATCGATATCTTGAAATATGATTTCTTGCAGCAAGTTCAAGTCGATTACAGGGAAGGGCATTGGCAGGGTATACTCGATTTTATTACCATTACAACCTTTTATACACTCAGGATTGTAAATATTAGCAAACTCTAGCTTTATTGTAAGACCCTACAACAATATAACACAAAATTTAAAATTTCTATTTTTAAATTTATTAAATGTGTACTTACGTCTTTTGTTGTGTCAACGCCATTGCATTTATAAGCCAAATTATAATCCAAACTTCTTGCATTAGGCGTGGATTCTGTTGATTCATGATAAGTTTTCATCTCTTGTAAAGTAATTTCTACTTTATTTTCTCCATCTTTTATCTCAAATTTGATGTGTTGGGCATGAAGACCGGTAATTTGAATGTTTTCGATATTTCCGGTATACTCAAGTTTGATGCTTTCACCATCCGCTGGTATAAGTTGAACATCTTTTAAATTAAGTACACAATCATCTATTAAAAAGAAAAACGAATTTTTTTAAATAAATTATTTGGATATTTTTTGTAATTTTATGATAATATACCTTGTGCATGGGCTCGCCCTAGGAGGCAGAGCGCCACGCATGCAAGCAACAGCTTCATGGTGAGCTAATTGGCGAAATCACCTAGTACTCATCACTGGCGCAACGTTTGCGCACGACTAACGCATCTCGCAAATGCGCAAATGTATTAGAAAAAAAATAATCCGGCTTATCGACAGTTATCGATAAAAAACAAATCAATTTATTACTAGAGGATCACGCAACCCACTCATGCAATACAACATAATGCCTTTAGCTATGTATAGATATTGATAGAATTGTATATTGGCATGTACAAATATTATTTATGATATTTGGTGAGTGGTTTCCCGTGACGTTTTCCACGCCGCGCTTTGTCATCTACAGATTCAGCAGACGCTTCGCGTTCGTCCAATGGTAACACTGTATTTGTTAACGAAGGACGTGAAATGACTTGATCATCGATTGATTTTGTAGAATCCTTGCCTATATTTGTATTTATGCAGATATCGCTTTCATCGGAAGGTGGTGGTGGGTTGTAAGAGAAACCAGTTGGACGTCGTTGTATTTTGGGCGCTGGTAATGATCGCTCGTTGGACATCGACTTGAAAACGCTAAAATATTAAAAAATTATCATTTTTTTTTCTTCATTCATTTATAGCGTCAGTTTTTAGACACAAAAAGTGATATTTTATATACGGATGGCTAAGGTGTGGATAATAGGTATTATCTACGGGTATTATTTACGGGTCGAAGTTTGCGCATGCGCATTTGTCTACGGTGCAGTACAAAACCGTATGAAATGCCAATTTTGATGATTTAAAAAAGTTGATAAACTGGTGTAAGCATCACGTGGCTAAACGTTGTTAAACATTCACTACCCTCACTTTTAATCAATCTCGTGAGTAAAGTCCCCATTTAGCCACTTGATACTTAATATCCTATTAATAATTATGTTGATATACATTTGTTTCGTGGGTCTGTTTGGACTTTGGGTCGATTGACTGCTATCAATTGGAGTAACTTGCGATTCTTTTTCGTGTGTATCTTCTTTGATTTCTATATTTTCCTTGATTTTACCAGATAAGAATTTCGATTTTTGCGCGTGATGAGAATATGACGGTTCATAATTGAATATTACATTTTGACTTGAATTGAATCTGGACTGTTTAGTGTTTTTCATTATGATTGGGGTTTCGGCGCGTTGAATGGATGTGTGTCTTGCTTCTCTTTGAGCGGGTCGCCTGGCCGCATTCTGTTTTATCTTGGCGTCGAAATGCTCCATGACCAGCCAGATTAGAAACAGAATGAAGAATACTAGCAGCAGTGCGATCGGCATTACTCAAGTCAAGTCACCATCGTCACTGTGGTTGATCGCTAGCGTGCAACCATGAAATAGATAGGTACATCACCACAATTCAGAAACATCTTCAAATTCACTGGAATTTTTAAAGCATACTAACAATCAGTCATAGATGACTTATTTTGCGTCAAATTTGGCATTTGGGCATACAAATCAACGTTATATTTTATTATAGATTATAGATTACACTTTGGGTACATTTTCTGTGTTTGATTTCGAAGTGTCTGAGGTGTTATCATCTTTGATGATTCGGACTCTTAGTGTTGTGATTGACGTGCCTGCGCTTGGACGTCCGTGCTGGTCGGGTTCGTTGGTGGTGGTGAAATCTGATGCTGAGTCGTTGGTTTCATAGGACATGCGTTTCAGTTTGCTGGTGTCGGCTGTGAGGGTTTTGGGCGTTTCGTCCACCATGTTTACGGATTGGGAGTCTCTTCGTTTTCGACGTTTGATTCGGTGACGTTTGTGCGATTGTTGAATATGTTGACGTTATTACGCAGGGATACTCGCGGTGCATGGTTGAGCATACTGGCCCATTGACCATCGCAAAGGGTGTTGAAGTTCATGTTTACCAGGAGTGCTCCGCCTAAGTCTCCTGGACCACGGCACGTTGGTTGGGTGTCCCAGATGGTATTTTTGTTATCATGAAGCCAGCTATTGAAAAAATGTTTAAAATTTTTGATTAGAAATTGGTTTTAAAATGCTAGCGACGCTAAAAGTGATTTTTATTGATTTGCATGTTCAAAAATTTAAAAATTTTTAAAAATTTAATATTTTTGAACACATTTTCAATATTTATTTCCATATTTAAGGTTTTTTTTTTTTCAAAAATTTTTCAAAAAGCACAAAAAACTGTTAAACCCGACAATTTTTCAGTTTTCTTTTTGTTTTCCCGTATAAAATATGTTCGTATTATTCGCCAAAAATACTTAATATGTTTAAAATTTTCTTAAAATTTGCAAAAAACTACAAAGTGTTCTTTTTTGAGGAAAAAATTAAATTTTTTTAAAAATTTTTGTGAAACATCAAATTTTTTGAAAATACAAACCATTTTCTATAAATTCCAAACTTACAGTGACAAATAAAGAATACTGCAATCACAATGCCAAGGATTTTTCGTCAATTTAATCGACTGTAGTTCTTTCAACTGATCAAAAATCTTAGCCGGTAAAAACTGAAACTTATTACTATCCAAATGCAATTTCTGCAATCGTGGTGTCGATTCAAACACCCCTGCATCCAAAGACTTCAATAAATTATTATTAACCAACAAAGAAGTTAAATTGTGCAATCCATTAAGAGATTTCTCTTCAATTGCTTCTAAATTATTCGAATACAACAATAACTTCTGTAAAGCAGGTGTCCCTTTAAAGATATCCTCTGGAATATGCGCGATAAAATTTTGTTCTAGATGCAACTCAACTAAATTCGCCAAATTAACAAAGTCGAGTGCGTGTATATGACTCAACTGATTGGCAGCTAAATTAAGTATTCGTAATTGTTGTAAATTGATAAACAGTCGCCGTGATAATGTTTGTAATTTGTTTCGTCGCAGCGTGAGCTGTTCTAGATTGTGTAGATTATAAAAAATTTTCGATGGCAATTCAACCAGAGAATTCTCAGCCAATTTTAAAGTTTTTAAACTTTCAAGGTCATTGAATATCTGCGCATCTAAATTATACAATGCATTTTCACTCAGATCTAAATCTTCCACTGCGCGTAAATCAGTGAAAACATTCACAGGGAGATTTTGTAATCGATTTCCAGAAAGATGAACAACAATCAGGTTTAAACTTCCGGCGAAGAGATCTCCAGGAAGTGTTTGTAAATGATTATGTGACAAATCAACACTTAGGAGATTACGCAGTTTTTGAAAGGTGTTATTTGCCAATTCTTCGATTTTGTTTTTGTGTAGCTTTCTGCGAACAACAAATGTGTTATCAGATGAAAGGTTTTGTTTAAAAATAGGCAGCGCTTACAGATAAAGCAAATTATCCAAGTTATCGAAAATATTTTCGGGTAGATAATCAATATCGTTGTCGAATAGATCAATTTCGTTCAAGTGCGCTAAAATTTGAAAGGCTTTTTTATTCAGGGTGCTCAATCGATTGATTCCTAAGTCTCTGAAATTTTATAGATAGATTTAATTAGTTTTTATCATAGAATTATATAGATAGAAATCGTTTTAAAGAATTAAAGTAAAATGAATCATCTGTTGGACTTACATTGTTCGTATATCATGTGGAATTATTTGTTTTGATGGCAGATTAGACATTTGCGCATTCCAACAGTTGAGGCTTTTCGTTTCCGGTCGACATTTGCATGGACCTTCAACGCATCGGAACCAACGCTCATTCTCATCAGAAATAATCCATACTTAAAGTCAAATTTTAATTTTATATATTTTTCTACTTTTAAAGCGGTTTTTAGACGCAAAAAGTTATATTTTAATCACGGAAGGCTAAGGTCGTGACTAAAGTAGTTTAGTCACGGGTTTTAGTCATGGGGTAGGAAAATAGAGTAAAAGTAGAAAAATATAGAAAAGCATAACGTGGTTAAACATGATTATACACTCGATTGATTAAACGCTCGCTTTTAATCAGTCCCGTGGTTAAATGACCACTTAACCCACTTGATACTTAATATTCTATTATTATATCTTGTAATATAAAACAATACCTGGTTGTTCCAATGATCTTACACGTCGTTCCAGTTTAAGCAAAGAGTGACTTAAGTCACTTACTTTACATTGAGAATTTTCAGCTCCAAATTCAAAATTAGAACATTCTTGTATATTTTCAAGAGTAACTTTTTTAATTAATATTAAAACAAATAAACTAATGGATTTGTTAAAAGTGACATTGTTCTGAACTTGGTAAAGAACTAAACACGTATGAGTTGAGTAGGAACAAGAGTAAAGTTTTGCTAATTTAAATTGATTGTTAGTACAATGAGCGTGTTTAATTTAATTTGTTCAATTGTGATTATTAAACAAGTTAGGTTTGGTTCGTTATGTCAATTGACATTGACAATACACGCGTTTTTTCATAGTTTTTTTCTGCGGAATAAGTTTTTCTTAAAAATGTATAATTTATCGCCTCGATTTTTACTCCCATCTTCCCAAACTGGTGTTCTTTTGGGACCCAGTTATTATTTGCTAGATGAAGTAGCTGCTATCAAAGGTAATCATTTTTTAATAGGGAAATAATGGTAATATTGAGAAAAATCGACGTTTTTAAGAAAATAAATTTTGGAGCAAATTTAAAATGTGAACTTTATTAGTTTTTATGCTGCAACCACAAATAAAGTGTTGTTGTAAAGTGGATTAAATACAGAATCTATTTATGTAATAAACTTTTAAATTTTCCATAAATTTTAGAAACTACAAGCGTTTAAAGTTGAAAAAACAATTTTTTTGCTCACAAAACCAAATTTTTTTAGAATTTTAAGATTTTTTTTCATTTTTTCAGAGAGTTATGTCCCATTCTCATCCAACACCTACCGCAAACCATTCGTACCTACCACCTACACAGAAGCAATCTATGGACCTGTGGACCAACACAAAATCATCGGAGGTAGCTCCATGCAAAACCGAGCACCACGAGTAACCTTCGCCCAAACTACAAGCAATAAAAAAGAGTTTCCTAAAGGAGACTTAGAAGAAGATAAAGAACTAATAAAACAAAAATCAACTACTTTAAAACCACCCCCACGCCGTACTCGTAAACTCTACGTGTGTAAAGTTCCCTTCTACAACGATGTGAAAGGACCTTCCGTGCCATCCCACATGGACGACAATGGTTACACCGTCGATGAGAACGATAAACTCATAAAAAATCCACCGGATGTCGTGGATACAACATTGGGTCCAGCTCGTTACTGCGTGAATCAAGTAAAGTACCGATTTATCTGAATTTTCTAAATTCTAAATTGTTTGTGCTACCTTTAGCATCGAACAGATGTTTGATAAGTCTATCGATAAAACCTATTATTAATGTTATCTTCAAGTGCTGAGATTAACACGATATGATTTTTTCTCGCTTTGTTCAAGTGCGCAAATATGTCGAAACGCATGTATGGCGGCTGTAAATGGTCGGCGCGGACAGAGCCACGACGGACGATTTTTGCACTCAATGATTTTCCTGGCCCAGGAAGCTATGATGTGAATGAGAAGCGCGAGGATCCTGCGGCGGAGCTTACGGCACGCGCTCGTGAGATGGCAGTAGGCATGTCGTACAATCCACGAATGATGGAATCCATTCAGAATCAAACTCTACGCGAGGTAACAACACATTTTTTTAGTTTTATAAGCGGTGTTTCATATGTGAGAGAAGTGATATTTATATCTGCGTGTAATTAACATGGAATAATTTAATTTCACGATCTGATGAACTTGTGAAACGCATCGCGCAAGTAGGAAGCACGGTTTATTTAATTGGACACGTGGGCGGCGCGGATATTTTCGTTGGCGTTCATAAATTCTGTTTGCGTGTGTAAGTTGTGACGAATTTTGTTAATCGCAGGATATTTTTATACTTTTAATATACTATTAAGACAAACATAACATAATTTCAATATTGTAACCTGAAATATTGTGTATATTGAGTTGCATACCAAAAATTTACTTTGTTTTATTTTTATAGGATTTTCCTGGGCCACCAGATTACAATATACAGAAACCTTTAATTACACGGACGACAAATAAATATGCAGGGTTTAATATGTCATCTAGACGCTTCAAATCAGCGAATGATGATCGTCCAGGTCCTGGAGATTATGAACTACGCAGTACTTTAATACGGAAAAAAGTATCTCAATCAGAAACTGGTTTTGGTTGTAAAGTATTGAGTTCAAAACGCAAGAAAAAAGCTGGGGTTGAAAGTAATGTGCATAATTATTATTAATAATTTATTTAAATATTAGCTTTAACCCGCGGCTTCGCTCGCGAATATCTAAAATAATGAAGTTGCTCTCGTACGCGTTAGTAGTCGCAGAAGTAGTAACAATGAAGTAGAATGGCTGAAAGTATAGTCTATGGAAGTATAGTGTACAGTCTCCATAGTGTAGTCAATTGGATTTGATGTTGACGTAGCTGTCGGTAATACAGTGTGATAATACAGTGTGATGGTACTATAGTACTTAGGTTTGAGCTTCATTGCTGGAATGCTAGATGGCGATAAAGTAGTCAAATAGCCAGATGCAGAGGTATTATTGGCTCAACAATTTCTTTATTTTATTTAAAAAATAATTTTTTTTATTAAATAAAATGTAGCCTATAACCATTCGGGGACCACTAAGAATATGTGTTCAAATTTTCATGATGATCGGTTAAGTAGTTTTTGCGTGAAAGTGCAACAAACATCAGGACTTTCGCATTTATAGTATTAGTAGGGATTAATATTAATTTTTTAATTATTTTTAGAACCTGGTGTTGGAACTTATGACCTCGCCCGATTCCCTTCATCATCAAAATTCTTACAATACCGCACTGTTCCCTTTGGCACAGGTGCAACACGTGACTTTTTCATCCCAGATGACCATCCAGGTCCCTCTGATTATAACACAATCCCTAAAAAAGATGATTCCAAACCATCAGCGATTTTTCGAACAAATCGTGCTCGATTAGAGGAGATAGTCCAAAGCCACGTAAGTTATTCGCATTCAAATCCAAGTGGGGTTATGTTTAATTGGTATTTTTCTATGCACACCCATTGTGTGTTCTTGGTGCGTATGCCTTGCGGTTGTAAATTACGCGCACGAGCCGCATCGTGGATGTTTGTGACGTGCGCGCCGGGCGGCGTGCATCGCCCATTGTCAAGCAAACAAACAGACGCAGCGCAACGCGTGTTTGATGGTCAAGATGGCCGCCGATGCATACATTACGCAGCGGCCATTTTGGCCACGTGCGTTTGTGTAAATATTTGTTATTGCGGTTGAGTAGGAAACCAAACAGGTGTATTATTTGTATTAGTATTAGTAAACTAGTTATACTCGTGACTTCGTCTCGGTAGTGTTTAATTAATAAAAATGTAATTCGTGTTTACTGTCTTGTTATAAACATAGTATGTGTCAATTCTATCAATAAGATTTGCAATTTTATTTTAAAGAAATTAATTATATAAAGAATTGCTAATAATGCACTTCAGCGCGCCATCTCGGATTCAACGATTTAACTATAACTATGATTGAATCTCAATGCCAACTTTTATCCTATAGAAAAGAGCTGTTTTAGGGTTTTCCCAGCAATTATTCTAAATTTTCTCGCCGTAAAAACCATCCTTGGACTTTAACAAACATTTTAAGAAAAGAATTGTCCAAATTGATCAAAGCGTTGTTGAGTTATGCGCTTACCAACAAATTTTGCGATTTATTTTTATATAATAAACTTCCCATAAGGTAATTTTAATTAGAATTAGAATTAGATGCAATCTATACATCTTAATCAAGTAAAAGTCGTCGAAGCGCATCGTTGGCGCTGCGTGATTTATACTCCAGGGTGTTTTCTTCGCTAATTGAAGCAGAGCAAGATGAATGACTACTTTATACAATATGCAAAATTCACCCTGTATAAAATATCTCTTATTATACAGAGTGTTGTTATTTTTATGTAGGTATAGTTTAATTTTTAGTCTAGAGTGTCACAGGTCATAAACTTGCATTTGGGGACGTGTCCCACCCTAAAACAATCGAATTGAAACCCGTATAATCATCGTGAGGACGCTTTGCTGCCCCCATGCTGGGCGCTAACTTTCAACTCGCGAATTTTGACGTTGCTTTGCTTGCCACCCCTTGGTGTTAACTGCGGGACGATTTCAACGACGCAAATCCACTTTGTTTGCAATTGTTAGACTTTCTCCCGCATGTTCTAATGTTATAATAATAATAACATACAGTGTGTTTTTATTGCTAAAAAAACAACATAACCTTATTGTAAATAATTTTTATAAAAATTTAGTTTTAATATTTTTAAGTAGTTTGTGGGTGTTTTCAAGGGTGTAAATTACAAACGATCGAACGTTGCATTCGGTAGTCGTCTGTAGCATTGTGTGTTGTGTGTTGTGTCTCGTTTTCGGTAGTGGCGGTGGCGGTGGCGGATCGTTTTCGGTTTAATTGAAATATATTGTCCCCGAACGCTGATTGTTTGCCCGCCTAGTGGCGGCCGCCCGACTCGCAACACACAACACACACACGAGTCGTAAATATGTGTACGAGGGGTTGCATACGACCGCCCTCTCAACGCCACCCTCTAACTCTCATCAGTGCGAATGCAAACGCGGAGACCAGGGACCAAAACTCTAAATGAATAGATGTTTGCGATTCACTTACGTTAGATTTACTCACCAACCACGGCACTAAATATTAATTAATCGCCGTGATAATCGACACTTGATTAAATTACAAAGCTATAACAAAATAAAATAAACTCTGTTTTATTCCACAGCCGAATGCTACATGCGCAACGTATAACATCCGAGATGATTTCAACAGATTGAAAGCTCGAAGATCATTTGCAAGGAAAGAAGTGAGTTTTTCAAGTACACAGGAACGCGTGGCGTTTAAACCTCGTGACGGGCCTAGTTTTTCAATGGAAGAGACCGAAAAACCAAAGAAAGGATTTGCAATTGCGAGGATTCCAAGATTTGCTCATTTTGATAATGGTGTTCCGGGTCCAAATGCCTATTTGGTAAGTTGTGTAACAATAGCGTAGATATTTCAAATATTTCACTTGGTAAAAACGGTGGAATTGACTTGTTTGACTGAAGACTTTCGGTGAGTAAATCGAGCGTGACATAAAACGAAGCAGTGCCGAAACGTTTCGATTCGGGCATGATGTATGCGAAGACGGTGCGAATGACAACCGCGCCCCCTCTCTGCCACCCCCTGCCGTTTTGCAAATCACCGACAAACGCGTCGAGGATGCTCTGGGGGTGGCGCAGTGAATGACTCACGTTGGCTTCCGATCGTTTTTCTTCATTTTCGAAAAAAGAGTCAAACGCATTCCGAGTGGCGCCATCTACCAATCAATAGTCTACTAATCCTGCATGGATTTTGAGTATTTTATTGAGATTTGAGTTCTTTTCAATATTTCACACATGTGCACTTTAGGAACTTTTGGGCGGGCCGATAAAAAATAAATAAAAAAGCAAACGACGTGAACGGGAACAGGAAAAATCTGGCGTGTATGTAAAACTGAAAAACTGAAAATCGTAGCCGGGGTAGAGTCGTAGATTTTGCTCGCTCGTGTCGCGCCGTATTAATAAATAACGACCGCATCCACCTTCGCACACATTTTTCCGGCTTCAATTGGAGTCTCTGGGGCGCGTAAACTGCAGCCGAGTCGAACATGCAGATTTTTTCATTGGGGTGCGCATATATACAGAGTGATCTCAAAAATCCCACCCGGAAAATAATTAAAATGAATTTTTTTCGTAGGATTATAATATATTTCTTGCACGAATGAATAATTTCCGTTTTTGGCATGCTTTGTTCGCTTTTTTATATTTTATCTCTTTTTCGGGTATGAGGGTGCTATTAGGTGTAAGCGAGAGTGCGTGAGTGCACGAAATTGGGCCGTCGTATATTATCGGAGTGTGTGCGCTTCCGTGTTGAGTAAAAAGAATGAGGAGCGGCGAGATGAACGAGGAGGTTTTGTAAGTACCTGTGCGATGTGGAGGCTGCGGATGAAGGCTGTAAATTGTGAAGAATGGACGCGATTTTGTCAAAACTTTGAAAAAAAAAAGTTTTTCTTCAATTTTTTTTATTTTTAAAAACATTTTTTGGGAAAATTCTACAAATTCTACTTTAATAAAGTAGAAAACCAGACAATTTATTTTTATTTGTTTCGCAATGAACTTGGAAACCGATGCGATGCGATGCAATTTCTTCATATATGCATCCGCTGTGCGCAAATTTCCGTACGTGGTCTGCATCCTAATCGCACATCTTGAGTTTTGTGGTGCATCCCGAGCACAAATTGTGTGATAAGAAATGTGATACTACGGAATTCTGCAATAAATCTCCCTGGATTGATTTTATTTGCTACGTAAATACGTTTAAAAATAAAACTTGATGTTTTTAAAAATAAATTCATCAAAATTATTTTAGTGCTATTAAGATATAGATGGCAGCACTAAAACATTTGAAATATTGTTGTTTCTCTTGGATTTTATAGCAGAATAGAAAAAAAATAGAAAACACGAACATAAAAATGCAACATTAATTTTCTGACAAAGTGCAGTCTACTTTACCAGTTGTAGTCGCGGTAATTCGGAAGGAGGAAGCGAATGAAAATCGCGTGGAAAGCGCATCGCACCGATAACGACCTGTTTTTATCTCCGGCATGCCAGCGGAGGAAACATTTTGTGCACTTTTGACAAAATGCACTTTTATTGTGTTGTTCCTGTCTGTGCGCTTTTTTCTTTGTTTGCGAAAACGAGGGGAGAAGTTTGTGGCAACCGGAAGTAGCCAACTATTTTTCATGACTCATCCAATACTCCTCTATAACAAAGCAACACACAAAAAAAAAACAAAAATCAAAAATTTGCTTAAATTTTACTCAATATTTTGACCATTTACAAATTTTGTTTATAAAATGCTTTCTAAACGTTATATGTCGTTACACATGGGGTTGGTCCACCCCAAAATATATATTTCTTCACTATTTCACTATTGCCGCATTTCTATGTCCTCTGCTCTTGTGTAATGTCGTGTTTATCGTCTGTAACAAATCGTTTCGAGGGGTCCGGACAAAGTTTTCCCCCAGATTTCCTTGAATTTTCATACTTTGAATGCACACTAATCGCATACGGGTGATTCATAGCGAATTGTGATTTATTCCCAATAAAAACTTTTGTTTTTGCAACAAATTTCCACATTAAACCTCAAAACACACTGTATAATCATATAAATGATTACCACCACCATGACCACAAGTATCAGTAGATTCATGGCTTGTAACTACCCCGGGATGACCAAACGAGCGGATTTATCAGCACGTCATCGTTTTTTCCTTCAACTTTTTCTTCTTTTCATCGTTTTCAATCCTAACGACACTTTTTGTGTTCCTTTACTTTTATATCTATTCGTTTTTAGTTCAAATTGATTCGCGTCGATTCATATCTTAACATTTATTACTCCTACAACATACAAGTTTTTTTCTCCTTCTCTTCATAGGCGAGTAGATATAAAGTGAGGTTATGACCGCTCGTAATTTTCTTCGCGCGCACGTCCGGACCGCGTTTTATTTTAAAAATTCAACTGCCCGCAATGCATGGCAATTTTTTAATATAACTGAGAGCTTGCAATGCGAAAAATTTAACAGTTTGCGTTAAATGTTTGATAAAATCATAAGAAATGTGCGAAATGTAATAAAAACTCGGCTGGAAAATTGCAATTGCAAAATTTAGTGAAAATAAGACAGGGATGTGTGCGAGACGTAAAGCACGCTTCCGGGAAAGAGTTAAAAGTAACATTTGAATTATTTACGCCTTTTAAAAGTTGACTTGACGCGCACCAGGATGACTTTTACTATGCCACGGTGAAATAGTAAAGAAAAGGTGCTCGTACGTCGTTTGGAACTTTAATGTTGACATAAAACTCACTTGTTCGAGTAGTTTCCAACGAAAAACACGTATTTTATTGTTTTCGACAAGAAAAAATCAACTACAACCAAATTAAACACTACTAACATATAGATGGCGCTTTAATACACTTTAAAAAAGTTTTTATTTATTTTTTGAAGGAAATTTTTAGTTCTACTCTGTGTAACAAAATAAATGTAATCTTTTATCACACGTGTTGAACAAGACAGATCCAAGACGCGCGCACGCTTGTGAAAAGTTGATGAATCCAAGCTGGCATAAACTCCGGCGTAGTTGTGGTTTGAGGTTATGCTGGTGCGGGCGAGACACGTGGCTGGATGAAGACCATACGCGGAATTAAATTCGTAAATAAGTAAACACTCGTCGAGCGTCCGAGGCGCGCGTAAATGGAATTGCGATTGGTGTTTCATGTTTTTACATCTTTTTACGCCCTCTCACTATCCTTTTTACGTTCTTTTGCGCCGGGCCGTGCTGTTTTTCATTTCTCCGGCACGTGCGCGTCGTTTTTCTCGCTGGCTTAACAGAATTTTACAAAATTTACATCTTGGGTTATTCTGGAACTAGGTTAGGTTAATAATTTATCATTTTATGAAGCACATAACTTACAAAAACACAGAAAAAAGAAATAATAATAGAATATTAAGTATCAAGTGCGCTAAATGGCATTTTATCCACGAGATTGATTAAAAGTGAGGTTCTAAATGGCGCCAAGCAATTTATTTGGTGTTGTGTGGCATCGTAGGCAAATGCGCATGCGCAAGCTCCACCCCGTGACTAAAACCCGTGACTAAAGTACTTTAGTCACAACTTTTGCCGTCCGTGATTAAAATATCACTTTTTATGTCTCAAAAAATAATATTTTGTTACTTTATGTTTTAGATTCAACAATCAGTGGCTTCATCAATGTACAAATCAGCTGCAACGTTCAATATCCGCCTGAAAGAAAATGTAATCGGTTCAAAACTCCGATTAGCCCCGAAACACACCCGTGTCGCATGGTACAAAGAAAAAACCAAACGAAAAATGCTCCGGGTCTTCAATCGTCCAGAGATTCAGTGCATGGAGAGCTGGATGGAATTGTAAGCGACACATCATTAGTATGCGCGTTTATTTTATAACCTCACTAAATGTCAGCGTCAGTAAATCCTGGAAAAGGTCACGCATCAAACATTTACGACACCCATCAAAAGGTGTATGTTGTATGAGTATCTGTGCTGAATGTTAACAATACGCAGGACTCCAAGGAGTTCGGATTTGGGTTGTTCCAGTTTCTGTCACGCATGTATGAAGAACAAAATGTCGCGTTGATATTTTGATTTTAGGGTGGTGGTAGAGGTGGTTTTATCCTTCGTGCTAGAGGCAGTTTGATGTGGCAGTTTCGTTGACGTATCGTTGACACTTGAGCGCACTCTTCACCTCCGCCTCGTTTCCACTCTTCGCTTCTTTTCTACTCTTCGTGCGGGAGCCGTTGACAGCCAGTTTGCGAAGTGTTCACGGATCAACGGACATGCCTGTCGCCGAGCGCGGACGGATTTATTCGCGAGACGCGATGCGACGACAAAATTGTAATTTAATTTATATCGGCTGGCATTTTGCGCCGATGTGTTGTGATGATGTCCCGATGCGTCCCGCTTTCGGATGGAAAATACGTTTTTCTTCGTGCGGCGGCGGCGCTTCGCGCTTCAATGCGCAGATTATTAATCTCGTGCCATCAGCGCTGGTAGCGCTTTTGTTGCTTCGGGTTTTATAAATTGTGTTATGTGGATGACAAAATATTTAATAATTACGACGGGAGTTTAATAACAAAACGGAAAAAAACAGAAAATTATGCCTAGGAATAGTAGTTCTATAATATAAAAATGAATCGCAAAATCTGTTGGTATGCGCATAACTCAACAACGCCTAAACCAATTTGGCCAATTTTTCTTTTATAATGTACGTTAAAGTCCCAGGAGGGTTTTTACGAGGAGAAAAATTCAAATAATTGCCGGGAAAACCCTAAAGACAGCCCTTTTCTATATGATAAAAGTTGGCATTGAGATTCAATCATAGTTATAGTTAAATAGTTGAATCAGAGATGGCGCGCTGAAGTGCATTATTAGCTATTCTTTATATAATTAATTTCTTTAAAATAAAATTGCGAAACTTATTTATAGACTTGACACATACGATGTTTAGAACAAGAGAGTAAAAACAAATTACATTTTTATTAAACACTACAGAGACGAAGTCGCAGGTAAAAGCTAGTGACAAGATAAAATTTTATTACATTAGTTTGATGTAGACAAACAACAACGCAGATTGGTAAGTAGCACCATCTAGATACATCTACCTGAACTACATTAATGTCATATAGTGATTTTATTGGTTATGTTTCACATATTTTAAGTTTATTTTAGCATAAATTTGCTTTGAAATCCATTGAAAAACGAAAATTCCATTTTATTTATATTTTTTCCTTTGTTTCTTTCACTTTCGCCCTGTTTGAAAGCATAAACGTCGATGCGAATTAAAATGGATGAAGGCACTCGTGATAGATCACTGCGCAAACATCGTGCAGCGTGCAGAAAACGCCCGCACTTGTTATTCCCGACATCCAGTGTGTTCAATCTGCCCGGTCCGAAAATAAAAACGTTAAAGCGACAGCGATTTGGAATTCGGTTCGAGTGTGACCAGTGACCGATTCGACCCATATTTATTCATTTTTTTTCTTCTCTCTTTTTTTTCATACGTTTGTTTGTTTTGTATTTGAGTATATCTACTGTAGATGATTTCATTCGCTATCATCTACTCGGAAATAACTTGTTTTGATAAACTTGAGAGGCGAGATTAATTTATGGCGACGGAATGAAATTTTGCGTAAATTGAACTTTTGAGCGCAACTCGTATTTGTCATTCTTGATTTCCGTCGTGCGCGAAAACTGTACGCTGATGTGAATTTTACCTCTTGGATAAACATCAGCGCTCAACCAGGTTTGCTGTTATAATAGTACGGCAAAGTGAGACAAACTTTCGAGAGCCGAGCGCGTGCAACTTCTCAAAAGTGAACATCAGTGGCGAATTCTGGCGGCATGCCAAACGTCGACGACAATTTTCGACGATTTGTACTCGTTGCTGAAACTACGACAGGAAAAATGCACGAGTAAAAAGACAAATGATAAAAAAATATTCGAACAGAGAGTAATTTGGTGTAATTTGTAACGTATTAAAAATTTGACTAAAATTTTTGTCTTTTTCTTAAATTTCTGAAATTTTTAGAAATGCGGTAAAATTAAGGACTCTAGATTAAAATTTCTTTTTTTAGCTTTTTTTTGTTTTGGAGTTATTTGTGTAATTTGGTTTCAATGAAAAATAATTTAAAAATTAGAATGTACAACTAAATATACATATCTATAGTATAAAAATGAATCTTAAAATCTGTTGGTAAGCGCATAACTTAACAATGCCTACACCAATTTGGCTAATTCTTTTTTTAAATGTTTGTTAAAGTCCAAGAATGGTTTTTACGGCGAGAAAAATTCGAATAATTGCCGGGAAAACCCTAAAGACAGCTCCTTTCTATAGGATAAAAGTTGGCATTGAGATTCAATCATAGTTATAGTTAAATAGTTGAATCCGAGATGGCGCGCTAAAGTGCATTATTAGCAATTCTTTATATAATTAATTTCTTTAAAATAAATTGCGAATCTTATTGATAGAATTGACATATTCTATGTCTAGAACATGAGAGTAAAAGCGAATTACATTTTTATTAAAAACTAATAATGAATTAATATTTACTGAAATATTTGATGTACGATTTTGGAAGTAATCCAATGTTGAATGATTAAGTTACTATGAAATAACTTGGCACACAAAGCAAAATCTGTTAAGCTCCATTTCCTCAATTAAAACCACCCCGGTATTACGACTATATCACATGACAATCCAAGAAAATCGTATTAATAACTTAAACACAATTTATCTAATCAAATGTCTTCAAACAATTTTCTTTATTTTGTGTTTAACTTGATTTTAAAACAGCTGGTATAAATATATGTATGTATGCAATGTGAGTGGCACAATAAAGCATTTGTAAGTGGCGCAATATCCTCGCGAGCGTCGCCAAGTTCTCGCTGATGAAATGATGAGAATGCCGGGAATTATGCAGAGATTTAGAGGATTTACAGCGCAACTCGCAACGCGCCAAAGGTATGTGGTTGGCGGGAAGTGCAAGTATTATGGTATAGCAAAATTTCGGGCGCCGAATAGACGCGCTCCTCGAGGATATCAAGGATGTTAGTGCCAAGGAAAACGTCGGGAAGAGTTAAAACTCTCTCGCTGCGAAAACACTTAAATGTCACCACATGCTGCGCATACGTTTGCTGTAATTGTTTCAACGGTTTAAGACAGCGTTTAATAAAGGATAAAGGATAATGCACACGTAAATATAAACAGAAGTGAATTAACCACTTAAAGTAAATATTTTACATTTGAAATTTGCTTGAATATTGCTTGAATATTGATTTTTTTTGGTTAAATTAATATTATAAGTGAGAAAGTGAGTTTTTTTGTTTATTTATATGTTTGTTCCGCTTTCAGGCGGAAACTACTCATCCAATCATTATGAAATTTTGCACAAATATTTTTTAAAGTATTGCAAAGAACATAGGATATTTTGTGTTTAAAAATTAAAATATATAGGGTACTAGCTGACCAGGCGAACTTCGTACCGCCTTATTTATTTAAACTTTATTACACAAAAAATAATATTGTACAAAAGGCGGACTTAATGCCATAAGGCATTCTCTGCCAGTCACATCGCTAGCGACCCGCCCCGGCTTCGCACGGAAGTAAAAAACCGCATCAAAATCCGTTGCGTAGTTTCAAAGATTTAAGCATACAAAGGGACAGACAGAGAAAGCGACTTTCCTTCTCCAAACAAAAAAACATCAACCGGTCAATATTGTTGGCGCGGCGGGTATGTCACAAATTACCACAGCTTACTAAATAAGTCATGCGAAGTTTGTATATGCGTTCTGAAATCTCACACATAGATGGCGTGACAACGGGAAACGGGTTTTATTTTTTTTTCAATCTTTCTGAGTCATTTTCCTAATATTTTTTTCCGTAATAACCTTCTACAAAGTATTAGAAAACTGCCAAAAAAAAATCAGCCAAATCGGTCTAGCCGTTTTCATGTGATGGCTTGACCAGGCGAAACGGGTTTCATTTTTATATATATATATAGATTAAATAAGAGATAAAAGGTAACATTGAAATATAATCATAGTTATAGTTAAGTACTTGATTCAGAGAAGGCGCTAAAGTGCGTTATTGACATTTCTGATACAATACATAATAAGTCCAAAAAGGATATGCATCAGGATATAAAATATACTGTCGAAAAAGAATCAAAAATTTTTAAAAAATGAAAAAATTTGAAAAAAAAGTGAAAACGTTAAAAACTCGAATTATTTTCCACGAAAAACTTATTTAACCTGGAATAATATTTGTTTAGCCATGAAATAATTATTTACCAATAGTTTTGTTTATATTTACTTAAATTCTAGTTCTGAAAATTTAGAAAATCGATTGAAATAATAGCAAACATTGGATTTTCAGTCCATTTTTTTCTTTTATCAATAAATATTAAAGACACATCAGCATTTTATAGCCCCAAAGCTCGCCGAAGCTGAAGAGCTTTCCAAGAAGCGCTGTGGCCGGAAAACGAAAACGAAACTAAAAAGGTTTTACGAGCGCACGAATGCGCGTTTGGTTGACACACATGTGTGCGCGAATAAAAAGTAACCGGCGAGTCAAAGGAGCGCCGAAATTGCGGAAAGAAGTCAACTAGGTGAGTATTTGATGTCTTACTAACCCACCGGAAAAACAGTCGCCAAGTAGACCAATGTTTATGAGTCGATGAAAAACAATAAACGTGTCCTGAATATTTACTTCCAGGGAAAATCAATATTGGCGCTGGAATTAATTAAATATACTCGTATAGCTACTGGTTTCGTTTTTTTCGTGTTCAATTTCTTAATTTCCGCCGGTTTGGGGAAAACTGGAGTTGATTTCACTTTCTCATTGTGTCTTCACAAATGTTTCATTTGCATTCAGCCGCAATCGAGTTAGATAAATACCAGTGTTTTCCCACTTTCTCATTTTCCCACTT